TTTTTCGGTTAAGTCAACCTATAATTTATTATTTTGTGATCGTTGGAGAGACTTAGCTGCTAGTTTATTCAAGATTAAGAAATTGCATGTGCCTCTTAAAGTGCATTTATTCTTATGGATCATGTGCCAAGATAAATTAGCAACTGTTGACAACTTGAGAAAGATGGGGTTCATTATCACCAATGTATGTATCCTATGCAAATACAATGATGAAGCTTCACAACATCTTTCTTCTCATGCCATTTTGTTACATATCTTTGGGATTGGGCTCGACAGTGCCTCAGTCTGTCATTACCTCTACCCAAAATGTCAGAGCTCTTCTTAACCAATGGACCACACCCGATATTTCAAAGATGGGAACTATTTTTTAGAGATCTATTTGGGTTATCCTTCTTTGAAGTGTGTGGAAGGAAAGAAATAGAAGAGTCTTTGAAAGTATAAGTATAGATCTGTCTACATTAAAATCGAATAGTTTGACAGTTATAGTTGATTGGTTCTTTGCACATAAGGATAGTGGATATATTCCTAAAAGTCTTATTATTAGCAATTCCTTGGCAGTGACGACTATAAGTGTTACCACCAACACTCGTAGTAAGGTTGTTTGGATACTACCACGAGTGAATTCCTTCAAACTTAATTTTGATGGAAGTTCACTTGGCAATCCAGGGCCAGCTGGCTATGGTGGTCTCATCATAAAGACTAATGTGATCTTGCCGGTGAATATATTTTATTTATTTTTCTTCTTTACACCTCTTTTCTTTTCTTTTGGCAAAGATCATTTACAAATAATCTTATTACAATACCTCTTGCTTCAAAGAAAATAAAACTAATAAATCCAAGATCTTTAAAAACCTTGACGCCATTAAACCAATTTTCTTTAAACAAATAAAATATCCAATTCTTTTGCTTGGGAATATAAAGCTAATAAAGGTAAATATGGCAGGAAACAAAAAGAGAGTGCCGAAGATTACCTCAACCGGGCTTAGTACATCCTACACCGAGTCTTCGCCTTCTGATGGTGCTTGGGGTCTATGATCGGTCTCTTGTTTATCTTACATATGGCAAAACCCTCTCAATGACATATGTATTTTGATCTAAAACCAACTTACCTAAGGCCTCAATGTCTTAGTTTTGTTCAAGCCCCTTTGGCTTAATCTTTTGAGAGATGAGAGATAGATCAAAGAGAGAGAGAGAGAGAGAGAGAGAGAGAGAGAGAGAGATCTACTAGCAAGGGGATCCTCCCATTTGCTACTCAAAAATCAAACCACCACAAGCTAAACTTAGCTTAGGCGTGCCATCTAGAAATGACTAGACTTGGGAGTGCCCCTTTAGAAAAACTTGGCTTGGGCGTGCCCTTTAGAAACATCCACTGAAAGTTTAGAAACGACCACAAAAAGATGACTTGGGCGTGCCTCTAAAATTTTTGGGGCGTGCCTCCCCTTTGGTAATCCAGAGAGAGATAACTAAATTTGGGTAGGAGAGAGAATTCTTAAAGAGATAGGAGAATGCGCACGTAATTTTATGAAGGGGGAGACCTCCTTTTATAGATTTCTTATGCTTTGGGGTTTACTCAATTCGTAGGGTTAAATTTGATTGTCGATCTAAGAAGACTTATGGGATGAGGGATTTGAGTTATCTATCTCTTTGATCCACTATCAACATTCAAAAAGATAAGTTAGAGCCTTATCTTCTTTTTTCTAGATCTATTCCCATCAAATCTTTAAATAAAAAAAATATATATCTTATTTTCTAATTTAGTATATCTAATATTTATTTATTGGATCAAGCAATCTTGATTCAAACATTTATTGAATATTTCAAATATTCAACCTTATCATATAAATTGGCTATCCCCAAAAGATAAGCCAACAAACAATGGACAAACATTCTTCCCAAGAAGACTACGTGAATGGGTGGGGTATGCCACCCTTTTGGTGGACACGTGTAGGCCCCACCTAATCCATATGTTTTTAAATTTTGGGCCACATATTTTATGGAGGTCTCATATATTGTTAGAAAATATTTTATTTCATATTTAGAATTTTTAAATCTTATAGTTTATTTAAAACATTAAAAAATTAATTTATCTTAATTTATAAATCCAAATGACAAAAAAACTATTATAAGATTAAAAAAAATTCAAATAAACATTCTAAAACTCATATACCATAAAATTAGTAAAAATTAATTAATTTTGATGGGAATCGGATTCGTTAGATCTAAGAATTATCAATACATGTGAGCACTCCACCTTCAACTGTGAATCACAATTCGCCTAGCTTTCTCAAATTGACCAAGCAGTTCTCATGACCCACAGTCCACTGTAGGGGCTCATGATTGAACCACCAATGTCAGCCAATAGACAAGGGATGCAATCCCAGTTTATGGATTTCAGGTTCTCCCCTAGATACAAAAAAAAATGTAATCCTCCAGACCATGATACAACAATGACTCTATGATGCATAGAGGTAATATAATACACGTGTATACAATTCACCTTCATTGACGAATCTTAAAACGGCTACTATGTACATGTCGTGTGATGATATAATGATGAGGTTTTAGCCCTGTCTCTAAAAGCTATTCATCACAAGCAAGGGCCACACAGTCCATTGGCACTCATCTGGGCATACTCCGACCTAATCAATGGCTAACCCACTAAACACTTATCGGTAGATCCCTATGCCTAGGTACTTTGGGTTTTTCCAAACTCGGCGGGCCTAGCACGACGAGCCTAGTTCGAGTATCGGCAACTCGTATTTGCCTAGTATGGCCCACAAGAGGACCACACTCCCATTGAATTCATGTTTCACCCTATAAAATGCTCATACAAGCTCTCATAAGGCCTTTAAAGGCCACATAAACCCAACAATTACCACCAACACTCGTAGTGAGGTTTTTTGGATACCACCACCATTATATTCCTTTAAACTTAATTTTGATGAAAGTTCACTTGGCAATCCAGGGCCAGTTGACTATGGTGGTCTCATCAAAAATAGTTTGGGGCACATTATATTTTCTTACTCGGGTCCTTGTGTTATCACAACAACAAATGAAGTGGGAGCACGATGTTTACTAGAAAGTTTGAAATTACTATGCACTTTGAAAGGGGGTATGATTATCGAAGGAGACTTGGCAAATATCATTGCCAGAGTAAGAGAAAGGCCTATATTCCTTGGAGATTAAGGACTATTTTTTATCAAATTTGGAATATTTTGTCAACATCTATGACAACGGTCCAACAATGTTATAAAGAGGCAAATGAAGATGATGATGTTCACACCAAAGGAGGAGTCCATACTCCCTCTCTGTTGGTTACTTCATGTATGTAATCTTGTGTCTTTGCTTGAACATCTTGTATTTTACATTTGAATCAATGATAAAGTTGTATGTTACCATTGGTTATTTCATTTTTGTAATCTTGTGTCTTTGCTTGAACATCTTGTATTTTATATTTGAATCAATGATAAGTCATACATTACCGTTGGTTACTTCTTTTGTAATCTTGTGTCTTTGCTTGAATATCTTGTATTTTACATTTGAATCAATGATAAGTCATACGTTACCGTACGTTACTTCTGTAATCTTGTGTCTTTGCTTGAACATCTTGTATTTTACATTTGAATCAATGACGAGTTATGTGTTACCGTTCAATAAAAAAAATAAAATTGGGGGTATCAGCTGTAGGAATGGATACCTCAACATGATAACTGGATGTGGGGATGCTACCATCAAGACCCAGCCACGTTCCTACATTTTGTTATCTTGTTACATGTAATATATATTTTCTTATTTTGTTACATTCTCCTCTCAATAGGAAAGAGCAATATCTCTTTCCTATCCGCACACTTTCCTATTTTAGATTTTATTTCTATTAGCATTGATAAGTTGCAGACACATTAACTTCAAAAGCATTGAAATATATGCGATTTGAACTAATGTGTACTGACCAATATCTCCATAGGAGAAAAACTAATGTGGATTGACCATTTACTCCCTTGGGAATACCCAAGCTAGATTCAATTTTAGGAACCTAAATTTTTGGGGATGTAACCTCTTCAACCCATAAATTATTAATCTTTAAAAGAAAAAAAACAAAAAAAAGTTTTAAGTGCACCCTTTACGCACTTGAAAAAAAAAAAATCTCGAAATTGAATAGAGGCCATCCAATTTTTAGATAGTGAGATCTAAGTGTTAGAAATCTCAAATTTCATTTTTTTTTTTGCCCTTTTGAGAATAATGATATAGTGATTCTTAGTTGACTCCCAAAATTTGAAATTGAAACAATCCTCCCAAGTAGGTCTTCTGACCAAGGGTGAAGAAGTAAAGTATGCTCCTGAGGCAGCATATCATACGTGCTCAAAATTTGAAATGCAAAAATGATCCAGATTGAGCATATCAATAAACGCCTCAAAATCTTTTATATGTACAATCCAAATAATTGTTACAAAATGTATCATTTTTAAGACTTGAAATCCTCTTCTTTTCATATCTCTATATCTTGAGGTCAAGATGATTAATCGGTGGGTATTTCAATGTCGGAGTTAATTTTTAAATGGGTTTTTAACTTGTCTTACTTTGATAGTATAAGGTTGCTGCCTCATATAGATTTTATATAAAGCCAACCTTACTTGTAGAAATAAGGCAGTGATTTACATCGTCTACTTTGATGGCTTAAATACCTCTTTTAAACATTGTCAATATTTGACACAAATTTAAGAGCGTCAAATCTATACCATTGAGTTAAAATAGTCAGTAGATTACTACAATCGTACTTCTAGTAAAATTGAACTTTATCCTTTTAAAAATATGGGTATACATGAAAAAATGACCGATAACCTGTCATCTACATGCGTACATTTACATAGTGGTGTTTTAACGATCCATCACATTCACTCTTGACCAATAATGGAGATCACTTATTAACCATCCATCACATTCACTCTTGACCAATAATGGAGATCACTTATTTGCGGAAAATAAAGAATTACAAAATTCCCTTACAAAACATCTCAGGGTTTTATTATCGTATGCTTTCACAACAGAACATCATTTCTCTCCCTTTCTTTAGGAAAGACCATCACAGCAACAAATTTTACCATAAAATAGAGGAACCCAAAATCCTGAGAGAGAGCACCTCTACATTCTCATGGCAACGAAATTAGAAAACTTCCAACATTCTCAGGTGCACCATTCGGCCATCCTGAGAGAAAGAGAGGCACCTCTACAAATTGCCAAGTTCATCCAAAAAATGGACCCAAAATCAATCAAATAGTGGAGGAAAAAACAAAGAAAAAAAAAACTACGAACAAATCGAGCTTGAATCGCTATCCACCAGCCCTTTATCCTGACGTATAGCACGCAATCTACAAGACTGTTTTATTATCAAACTGTATGTCGAGGGCCATTCCCATGGCACAATTGCAAAGGCATCGCCATACTCATTCATGCCTCCAGCAAGGAATTGCCATGCCATTGCCCCAGCTCCCGATCTCCTTCTCTTTGCCGACTTGTAAATTATGTCATAAATTGTCGAATAAAAAGCATCACGCTGTGTTGGCTCGAAGCCTTCTTGCTGTGTTGAGATACCAAACTCGGTAAATAAGACTGGCTTTTGAAGCATCGTGTCTCCATCTTCGATGTGAGACTTCACCCATTTAGCGAGGTAGTTCAGCTTCTTTTCGGGTGATGGCTCAGGAAACCTGTAATTTAATGTGATTGTTTATTTCTAGTAACAACGATATGTAGAGGAAAGAGATGGGTGTAAGTCTTGACTACGGAAATACATTGTCATGAGGATCATCATAAACCAGGTCAACAGTTTGGCACAGAGAGAGACCTGTCAGAACATGATTCCAGTGGTGGATTCCATCCTCTGTCCATCGTCATCTAGCCAACACTGCGGATTCAACAGTGATGATCCTCAACATGTATTCTGAATTTCCATAGTCATATGGATTGTATATAATATAGGTAACAATGGACTATAACTAGACAGATAAAGTCGACAAAATCCTGTTGGAGTTATCACTGTCTACTGAATGATGAATGATGGATGGTGATTGAGATATTTGGACACACTATAGGGGCATGTCCTGTCCTGGTGGATCTCCTCTTTCAATTACCAATCATCATTTCATTGGATGGAGATGACCCAAAGGGTTTATGTGTCTCCATACCTCATTGGATTATAGCACACTTTCACACACCCACACACACAGACAGATTTGGGGCATTTTGGGTGTGCCAACAAGCATTTATTGTGATGTGCACCTAGCTGGTTCAGTATGACAACCCTGCTCTTGCCCCACCAGCGGTCCATTTCAACCACAAATAACTTGGTCTAACAGGCTGGTCCAGTCTGACTATAATAACATAGTTTCCTTTGTTATCCTCAGCTATATTATTGTCACCATACTATTGTATATACCACATACCAGTTATCAAAATATACCACTTGCCAGTTATCAGGATATGCATGAACGGACGCAAAGTCGATAGCCGAGATCATATTGTTGCGAATGAAGTCCACACCGAGAGAGCTCGCCCAATCGCCCGGGTTCCTATCAAATTTCTCAGGGGTTGTGGGTCCATAAAATCCTTCATTCCCAACACTCAACAAGTGTTTATTGTCGATGGATTTCACGAACTCTGCCATTTCCTTGATCCAACCCTACAATTCTTCAAATGTACTGATAAATGAATCAACCCCAAAAACTCACTCACAAAAAAATATAATGCTACAATTAGAATATAGTGGGATATATATGAGAATTGAGATTACGATTAAATAATTAATTATCAATATCCAACAAATATTTCCAACTTTTCCTGCTACTCTGTTCCTCCCCAGACAAATGAATATATAACTGCCAATGATAAAAAGAAACAAAAAAAAACATATAAATTCCAAGGGAGATAACAGGTGGCCTTACTTGGAGAGTGTCACCTGAGGGATCAGATTTGCAACGAGGCTCATTCATTATCTCCCATGCGAAAATGGTAGGATCGTCCTTGTATTTGATGCCGGTCAAACTGTTTCTTCTAGTCAGAATGGTCTGCCAAAAGAAATAATAATAATGATTTGAGTTCTGATATATTGACATCAATATTTTAGAAGGCAGTAAAAGAAAAACTAAAACCAAATAGCTCAAACTGAGCCAAACACAAGTCCAGCTGAATTAAGTTATGGGTTGACTCTGTTCATTATGGAGGGAAGAATTTACTGATAGTTTTCCTATTAGTAATAATCATAATACAACAGAAAATTTGACAAAGTATTCCTAAAACTATAACTTATTAGTACCTAATCTGGGTAGTCCAAAGATTTATTCTGTCAGCAATGATGTTTACAACTACTTTAAGTCCGATAAAAATGCCTAGCAAAAATGATTGCACTAGTTTAACAAGGGAAAAAAAAAAAACAGGAGGCATTGGATGGAGAGTGAAAAATAATAATTTTTTATGCTCAATGAGGTGTGGGTGGGTGGGTGTGCAGTGAGAATATACGCCAAAAGCATTACTAGAAAGGGCAAATACATCAGGATAGTAAGTCCTGATACAAATAATAAAACAAGAAATTGACTCTCAAAAAATAAAATAAAACAAGGAATGAGAATTATCCTGACCCAAATTCATGCCAAAAACCTAATGAGTGGGTGCAATCAAGTTGGCCAAGTTGAAGCATTAAACCCAAAAAAAACAGGAATAAGTCTGTTGGTATGGAATTACCTTCATGTAATTTTTAAAATGACTGCGGATGAATGGATCAGAAAAGAAAGAATCATTGGAAGAGCTTGAAGCTGCCCCTTGTTCCAATGCCCATTGAACATACTGACCCTTACCACCATAGGCATGCAAGTTATTGACGAGGCAGAGGATTAATCTTATCCCTTGATGCCGAGCTTCTGCAATGACTCGATCCAATCCCTGAAATGCCCCAATTAGCTTGTTAATATCAGACAAAAATCCAAAAATATAGAAAAAGAAAGAAACAAAACAAAGAGAAAGATCTATTATTTTACAGCATTGAAATTGTTACATGGAATTAGTGAATGTGCACGTGTAGCATTCGTTTATAGCAATCTATCCGAGCATGGTATCAAATAACGCCCAAAAGAAATAATTAACAAATTTTTTGAATGTGGTACCTGTAGGGTTTTCCACATACCATGTGGCACAGAGTTAATGTTCAGCGCTAACTAAAGAAAATCCAGCACTTTGGCCCAAATGGGTCTTAATGTTCAGCGATAACTAAAGAAAATCCAGCAATTTGTTCCAAATGCTTGTCCTGTGTCTATTTCTTACTAATTTCAATATTCAAAAACATTGGAGCATCTAAACTTATTTATGCCTGAAGACTTATTATTATTTTAATAAATAAAAGGACATAATATATCATGAGCCAGTCAAATAATTCATCAAATTGATCAAATAAACAAAGCAAAAACTCATGAAAATTAAAATCAAATTTGCTCATTCAACAAAATATCATGAACCCTCCTTTCTGTTTGCATTACCATAGCATTCAAATTTCAGATGGAATATTGTTAGCAGCCATCAAGAAGACAACATCTGATAGTTTCTTCCATTAACAATAGAGAAAAAATTGGTGGGTTAATATGATCCGGTGGATTGGTAGGGGCATACATTTCTTTTTCTTTCGAAAGTTATCAGGAGGGGCATACATTCTGTAGATGTTTCAGGAAGATACGTAGAGACTGATAACTCTATTCAGATCTCATTTCAATGTAATAAGAAGACATCAGACTTCCATCGTTCTAGTAATTTATGCATCATCAAACTATGGTCACATTTATTCCCATTTAACAAAAAAAAGTTACTCATAAAAACAAAATCAATATATAAAATGAGACCATTATTTTGAAGATTAATTAAGCGGATATTTTCTTTTCTACAGATCCATATAATTCCTCCAAAAGACCATATACCAACTAAGAACTGAAATTTAAAGGGTACAGAACCATTTTAGCAACTGCAGATCAAATCATTCACCAAATAACAATAACAAATCAATAATTTAATAACGCTGCACAAAATCACAAAGAAACTGCTATGAGAACTAACGAAGCCAAATTCGTGAAACAAACACCACAAAAAATTAAATCAGCCTCCAAACTCATGAAGCAAATAAAAAAGAAAAACCAACTAAATGTACCTTGAAAACTCGCTCATCAATTGTCCCAAGTGAGAGTTGCAGTGCATTATAACCACCATCATTGAAAGCCCAAGTCCTGCAGACAGTGAGACCCATTCTTGCACCAGCTTGAAGCATTGCCCTGACCCTAGGCCTGCTAAACTCCTCCACTGCCTGGTCCATTAACCAATAAGAATTCCACCCATTCACATAAAATGCTTTTCCATCCACCATGAACTGAGTCCCATTCTTCTCTACAAAACCCAACTGTGGTTCTGCAAAATAGAGCCTTAAATCCCCAAGAGTCATATAAATGAAGGCCACAGAAGATGCAAAGCCCAATATAGGGACTAGAAGCCCATTGCCTGCTACCATTTTCAGGGCCAGTGCCTTACAGCCTGTGTGAATGTGGGACACTTATGACCTAGTGCTTGGTATCACTGAGATGACACAGTACTTAGATGAGATTTCTTTGAGTTCACCTCAGCACCAAATCCAGATTTCAAGCTCAGCACACAGTTCAGGAAGCTTGGGTGTCCTAAAATGCCAATTTAAGGGTTCAGGCAACCAATAAATAGATTTCAACAACAGTGTGGTAACTTGGGGCATCCTAGAAAACCAACTCCAGGGTACTCAGGTGACCTTTGAGGAGCTGGGGGTCTTGTAACACCGGTATTTTAGGGTTCAGGCAACCCATAAATAGACTTCAACAACAGTGTGGTAACTTGGGGCATCCTAGAAAACCAAGTCCAGGGTACTCAGGTGACCAATGGGGGTCTTGTAACACCAAGAATAAAGGCCCCAATTGATCTCCTCAGCTTTATCTCTTGCTGTTTGTCCAATAAGACATATTTGTGTCCTTTCTCAATATCCAAAGGGGTCCCAAGGGAGTACTAGTTGAACTGAAATGAGATTTTTGGTGTCCTACAAGGTCTTGTGTTCTAAATCCAAGGCACCCAGTGTGATAAATGGGTGCCCTTTTCCCCAAGATCTTGAGTCACCAATAGGCTGTACAGCACAGGATCTAGGTACCCTGTTGTTTGGTGTCCTAAAAATTAAGGTACCTCTTGCAATTGGTGCCCTTTATTCACAAACTTGAAGTAGCCAAACCAAATATTGCTCTTACTCTATGGGTACCCATATAGGCAGAGTCAGGGGCATCAAAGCAGGATTTTGACCCTTAATACCTTCACTTAATATAGCCACATGGGATCAATCTTTTTCTTCAAAGAAATGTTGGGAGCTAAAAGGGAAAATTAAATCCTGGGTCTACAATCTTAGAGATGGGTGATTCTTAGAATGGAGGAAGAAATTTCTGGTTTTATAAAGCAAAAGGCATACTGTGTCAAAATGGGGAGAAAAAAGATGAAAAATAGTAAGAGAAGAAGACATTTTCATGTGCGGTGGGATGCTTATTTTTTTGAATGTTAAGTTGGTGTATTTTCCATATTAGGTGGAGTGTAGGCTTCACATTCTAAACTATATGGGGTCAAACCTCTTGCCGCCCATTGTTTATAGAAATAATGAATCAAAAAAGACATTTCATCTTGAAATATTATACCTTCCTGTTTATTCCGCCATAAGGCTGCGAAAGTCACATGCAAATTCTTTATTTTCTTCACCGTTGGGTACCACACAAGGAAGAAAAGGAAAAGGTTAAAGCTAAAATAAAAAGAGAAAGGTAAAATAACAAGTTTCCTTGTGCTACTAGAAAGACTATATTCCATAGGTTAAATTAAGTTTCATATGTAAATTAAAAAGCAAAAACAGTTCCTATCTAAATTAAAAGAAAAAACAATCTTCATACTTGAAGTGGGCCACTGAAAATGACTAAACAAACCCCTAATTGTGGTGTGTGTATTCATATCTAAATTAACAAAACCATCAGATGATTTTAAGATTATGATACTCTTAAGACTGATACGCATTTGATTTCTTCCATTGAATTAGTTTATGCATACTAAACATCAAATTCTGTTGCTCTTTCATTATTGCCACTAACAATTTCCCCGGAGGTGTAATTTGATTAATTTCAAAATCCATAATGATTCTTATTTGCAAGTTTGTTCAAAAGAATGACAGTGTATTTGACATTAGATAAAAGGAATTTATTTCTACTCTTTAGTATGATTTGGTAAATTTCTCAATATTGAAATACTTTAATAAGAAATATAAATACCGAGAACGTCTATCATATTCTTTAGTGACTTTTAGCTTCATCCAGTACAGTAACTAATGGAAAAAGTTTATACACGGCAAGGGCCCAAGCAATCAAATTAAGGCGCGTCTAAAGAATTCACTAGAAGAGGTTGCTTCGATGCCCAAAAGTCCTCAAAGTGATCATCTTGACCACAGGATGTATGGACATGAGAAAAAATAGATTTCAAGCTTTCGAAATAGTACATCTTGTAATGCATTTTGGATCGTTGATTTTCAAGTGTTCATAGATCAGCTCGATCTAGACTATTTTTGAAATTTTGGATTCTATAATTAGATATGAAAGTAAATTTTCAGGTCATCACAAAGATTTTCAATGCTGACACAACATTTTTTACCCTATTTGATGGTGCACCTTACTTTGATTGTTTAAAGCCTCAGCCTTATACAAACCACCCCCATAACTAATATGACATACATCAACTACTTCATGAAAGGGTGCAGTTTGTATAGAGCCTAGGCTCTAAACAATCAAATTAGAGCCTACCTTCAAATAGTATCGAGAAATGTGGTTTTAATATTGGAAATTTTTGTGATAGCCTTAAGATATATTTTTATATTTATTTATAAAGTTTAAAGCTTAAAAAATATTGTAGATTGATGTATCTATAAAACTTGAAAATCTTAAAAATTGATAGTCCAAAATTGTGTTACAAACTACACTATTTTTAAAACTTGAAATCCATTTTTTTTTCATGTCCATGCATCTTGATGTCGAGATGGTCAATTTGAAGATATCTGAGCATCAAAAACAAACTCTTCTAGTGAAAATTTTGGGATGGGCTCAAAATTGATTGTTTAGAGCCTTGGCTCTATATAAACTTTTCCTTTCATGAAAAGTGTAGCCCGAATTCAATGACATGCAAATTGAGCGTTAATTTGGAAATTATGAATTTATGATTGCATGATTTGTTCTCATGCAGTGGGAGATCCTTTGCCTTAATGCGTAAAAGACAAAGATGCCTAGCTGCCTTATTCCAATAAGTTCACTATTATTGGGAATTGTACCCCACATTACAATTATTAACCAATTGTATTTTTTACTTGCACAAATCCCACTACAACCATTATCCTATTATTTTTTTAGCAATTTACAATTTTTTATTCTACAATATTCTCCCCCTTACTTTTTCATCAAGATGTGTTCTTTTCCTTGGGTTGGTAAGCCTTCTCATACAAACCATCTGCTACACCAATAGATAAAAGGTCACATACTTGGTAAAGTCTTTTTGCGGTTTGTATATAGCCAAGGCTCTTAACAATCAAATTTGAGCCCACCTTCAAATAGTATCAGGAAATATAGTTTTAATATTGGAAATATTTATAATAGCCTTAAAATCTATTTTCATTTTAATTATAAAATTTAAAACTTAAAAAATAGTGTAAATAGAATCGATCTATGAAAACTTGAAAATCTTGAAAATTGACGATAAAAAAATACATTATAAGATGTATTATATTTTGACATCAAAACAACCTCTTTTATTGAATTTTTTGAGGTGGGCTCTATTTTGATTGTTTAGAGCCTACGCTCTATATAAACTTTTGAGATTAATGCACTTATTGTTAGTGTACTATTGTCTGAATTGAAATGGCATCCTCCCACAAACAGTGATGTTCTAACAAGTCCTTGAAGTATTGCTTCTATTTTTATATGAAGGTAGGTATGCAAATTATGAGAATATGACCTAGTAATACCAACTGCTTCAAGCTTACCATACTCATCATCACCTCCATTCATCGGGACCATCAAGGCCATGGTGATTTTTTCGTTGACCATCAACCATCATGGCACCGTGTTCAAAAACCTTGGATCCCCACCCATTTTACAAATCCGAATTGACAACTAATAAAAAGTTGGTCAAGAGAGGAACCTAGGTTGCGTATTGGGAATTTATACAATGAGATCGTTTATTTTTGGTACGGGATGATCACAATTACTTATAATCATCTGATATGAAATTTGATAGCTAGGGTGTGTCACAAAGTTCGAAAAAATTTATTTTGAACTTTAAGTTATTTCAATAAAATAAATGCAACCACCTAATTTCACATCCAATATCAAAATTAATTGTGACCACCTTGCACCAAAGTTAAATGGTCTCATTATATACTTTTCCTTACGTACCCATTGAATTTGATACAAGTCAATGGTTCCTGATCCGCATTGCTAGGTTTTAAAACTCTAATCACACCCATGGAATTTGATATAAATCGGTGGTTTTTGTTTCAGATTGCCAGGTTTTAAAACCACGATGATAGTATGAATTTCATGAGGTGATCATGGGAATCATGACCAAGATGACGATGATCATGATGATTTGTTTGACCATAATGATAGATAGAGGATGATAACGATGATGATAAAGATGAACCTTTTTTGGGCCCGACCTTCCTTGGTAATTAACAATGGGTGTAGTTTGCATGAGGTTGCAACCTTAAACAATCAAAGTAAGATGCACCTCCAAATTTTATCATAAGACATATTTTTGTGTAAAAAATTATTTGGATGGCCTAATAATCCGTTTTCATCTGTAATTACAAAATTTTCTACTTAAAAAATAGTTCTAATCAAGTAGATTTATAAACACATAAAAATCTTAAAAATAGATGGGTCCAGATAATGTGGTTCAAGATGCACTATTTATGGGTCTCAAAATATTTTTTTTTTCATATTCATACATTTCAATGACGTGATGATCAATTAGAGAATTTTGCAACATCAAAAAAAGCTTTTCCAATATGGCTCACCTTAATTCTACATTTAAGGTTGTGACCTTATATAAATGTTTTCCATTTACAATAGTCAAAAGAAATGAATATTGTTTTGAGACCAAGGTTTGAAAATTTGGTGATCCGGATCGGAATCACCCTATCTAGATCGGGATATGTCGATGGCGATCTAATTCATGTCATAAATGGGGAATTGGATGGATATTTGATTTGTAAATGGGGAATTGGCTGTGGGTAACTGGAACCGATGAGATTCGTGTCATAAATGGGGAATTGGTTGTGGGTAACTGGAACCGATGAGATTCGTGTCATAAATGGGGAATTGGCTGAGATCTCTGAATGAGGAAACTTGGGTTAGGTCCCCTCTTGATCTACCGATGAGATTCGTGTCATAAATGGGGAATTGGCTGAGATCTCTGAATGAGGAAACTTGGGTAAGGTCCCCTCTTGAACCGATGAGATCTCTGAATGAGGAAAACTTGGGTAAGGTCCCCTCTTGAACCGATCAGATCTCTGAATGAGGAAACTTAGAAACTTGGGTAAGGTCCCCTCTTGAACCGATCAGATCTTTGAATGAAGAAACTTAGGTAAGTGCAAACTTGGGTAACTTTGGGTTAAGTGCAAACTTGGGTAAAAACTTAGAAACTTGGGTAAGTGCAAACTTAGGTAACTTCTTGGGTAAGGTCCCCTCTTGAACCGATCAAATCTCTTAGTGAGGAAACTTAAAAACTTGGGTAACTTTCGGTAAGTGCAAACTTGGGTAAGGTCCCCTTTTGAACCGATCAGATCTCTGAATGAGGAAACTTAGAAACTTGGGTAATGTCCCCTCTTGAACCGATCAGATCTCTAAATGAGGAAACTTTGAAACTCACCCAACTTAGAAAATTGGGTAAGTGCTGACTTGGGTAAGGTCCCCTCTTGACTTTGAATGAGAAAAGACAATAAAGTGCATTTTTGAATTACATTGAGTAGAGTAAGTGTGCACATACACAACAACTCACACGCATTGTGTGAGACTTTTTTAGATGTTTTTGCTTCATCCAATCTTCGATGGCCTAAGTGTGCACACGCTCAACAACTCATATGTCTTGTGTGAGACTTTTATAGATGTTTTTGCTTCATTCAATCTCTGATGTGGGCCAAATCAGTCACATTTCTTCACCACCATATAAAACAAACTTTGGGGCAACAATTTTCATACGGAAACTCACTCTCTCTCTCTCTCTCTCCCTGCACCCACCACCTTGGCATATCTCCCTCGTCCCTTCCCCCATGGGTGTCTCTCTCTACTAACAACCCCTTTCTCTCTCCCCCTGTGGCATCTCTCTCTACATACAATCAATTCTACTAAAATTCTTTCGTTTTTTCTTTGTACTAACTTCTTCCATTAAGTTTGTTTAATATAACTTCTTTTAAAATTTAAAACTGAAAAGTTAATATAAAAAAAAAAGAAAATAATTATAGACATTCATTTTATTATCATTTTGCATTTTAAACTTTATTTTGACTATAAAATGAA